AAAAAAAAAAAAAAAAAAAAAACTATTTTTTATACTTCTAAACACGACAGTAATTGATAAAGAATGAAATGAACACATAAAAGAAAGCCAGACTATCATCTAAGCCAACAATATAAAATATTAAATTGCATCCATTTTGTGCAAAGAAAAGCATGGCAACCACATTTACAATCGCATTTAAGCAAGACATTCAATAGAAAGCAATTGTTTCTTTCATTAATCAAACAATTCGATCACATATTTCATATAAAACAAATATCATTATTATAAATTACAAAATACAGACAAAGGGAGCAATGGAAAAAGAGGATCAATAACTAGAAAAACAGCAACACCGGTTCTACAAACTCAGAACTTTTCAAATTGCATTAGTCCACAGTCCATAGCAGCTGCCCCCATAGACTGTAAAGACTCAAACAAATGCAGTGGCACACACTTACAATAATGTTTTTTGTATAACCATGTTATTGAGATGAAGTACCCACAAGATTCGCCGATGAGTAATCTTCATTGAGGAACCTAATTGGCGACTTTTAGTGAGGTTTTCTCTCCTAACCACATTTTTTCATCTACAATACTCAAACTCAAGTCCTTCCTTAAGAAGACCGAATTCAGAATTACTCAGACCAACAAAGACTTGTTGGTACACGTGCAATAAAGTTTAAGAGCAATAATAATTCACTCACCATTTACATTGTTTGCTTTCTGACTCTCTTCCACCAGAGACAGTGCAATAGCACGATCTATATCTTCATTCTCGTTCTGGTTCTGGTTCCAAGCATCCTGCATTCAAACACGTGAGGACAAAACAGTAACTTCCAAAAGCATTCATTTAGAAACGCCCAAGAACGTTACCCCTGAAGTCGACGGCAAATAATAATCCGCATCCTCTTTATAGCAATGCCCTTCCGAAATCTTCTGGTCGGAGCCCTTAAAAATTCTGCTAAGCCAACCCATTCACTCAAAATCAAATCGCTACAAATTCATAGTAAAGTTCCCCCTGCACATTAAAACGCAAGTTATTGCAAAACAATAGCAAATTTTCAAAATAAAAAAAAAATCAAAGAATACTTATATTATATGAATTAAGTTGGTGCTGCAAAACCTGGAATTATGAGTTTGGACTCACCTCTTGGAGGCTGAATTGAAGGAAAGAGGTGTTGATGCTTGTGCGAAGTGTGTGATCTAATAATTCGCACGGTGCAAAACTTGAACAAAAAACATGTTTAGTTTTTGGTGCGTGTTAAGGTAAAGAGTTGCACGGAAAAGATGAAAGATTCAAAAACGAAAAGGAAAGCGAGGAGTTGAGATGATTGACATTTGCAGAAAATGGAATTATAGAGAGAGAGAAAGCGCACGCGATTTGAAAGTCAAATAGAAAGAAGCGTGGAATGTGAAAAGAAAAACCCTTGAGAAGGATCAAGGAAAATGGAGTTTAGGTCCTTGAATTTGGGAAGAATAGAAGAGAGTGGTGGGGTCTTCTTCTTCTTCCCTTCTTCTCAAGGAGACCCCAAAGCAAGAACAAAAAGTTTCTTAAGGAAAGGGAGAGTTTTGTTTTGTGGGTTTAATTAATTGATTAATATGGTTGATTGCCTTGTGGGCGGATTCATACGCGGTTGGGTAGAAATGCCAAAAATTCGCACATCGGGATTACTTGTCACAAGGAGGAAACTAGGGGGCGGGGACAAGTATCCATAAATTATAAAGCAACAAACAAATTATTGCATAACTAATATGTTTAAATTTTACTTTTTATTCTTTTATTTTTTGGTGTGCAATTTTGGTCATTTTATTTTAAAATACAAGTATTTAGTTCCTCTATTTTTTTAAAAAAAATATAAAATTTTAATTTTATTATCAATTTGTTATTCATTGATTGTTAAATTTAAACGTTGTCCAATGATTTGTCACACCTAAGTAATGTGACATATAAAAATATAAATTAAAAAATAAAATATAAAAGATCTCCATTTGTATCTATTTTTACAGGTGATTTATATTTATTTTATTAATACAAATTTTATTTGCATATTTTTAAATGTCTTTTAATAAATATTGCATCACTATAGTATAAGTAAACGTTAAAACTTGAACTATCAATTGATGTCAATTTGATGAGATAACCAAAATCCTGTATTTTTAAAATTAGATAGATTAAATGTCTTTATTTTAAAATTAGATGGAATAAATGTCCCTATTTTAAAATAAAGTAACCAAAATTGCAGGTTAATGAAAATAAATGCAGACCATTATCTTGCATAAGAGCATTCATAGGGTTTATTCTATGATAGGAAAATTTTTAGGAAATTTCTTAATTTCTTATCTAATTTAGTTTCATATTTATTTATAAATTAAATTTTAATATTTTTAAGTAAATTATTGATTGATAAAAAACATTGTATTATAATATAAATTATTTATATAATTCACATATTTAAAAATATCTATTTATACAAATTTTAAATCAATCATTATATATGAAACACGGATTTTTTCTTATGCAAGAGCATTTTAAGGACTTTTCTTCGACAAGAAGACTTTTAGAGATTTTTTTAACTTCTTATCTAATTCAATTTTGTTATCATAATTATTTATTTTTATGAGTTAAATTTAAATATTTTAAATTTAACTATTGATGAATAAAAAAATATTGTGCTACAATATAAATTATTTATCATTGTTCTCATATGCCTAACAACTTTCACATCCATTAGGAATCGAGGCTAAGGTAGTTTATAAATATCATCTTTCTTTAACCCACTGAGGTGCCTTTCAAAGGACAAAACCGTGACGGTTCAATGAGTGTCAAAGAAGACAATACCTCGAATATGGTTAACCCTAACGATGACAATAGACTTACGATCGAAACATTGGCGCTAGAAGAAGGACCTATGTCACTCTTGCACCTTAGCCTCAAACGGAAGCTTGTTCCAATTTGCCTAAAACGTCTCAGGAATTATGGCTAAGGATAGTTTATAAACACATTCTCTCCTTATATTACTCAAACATAATATTTATTTGTATATATAATTTATCATAAATTTTAGGCATATATAATAAACATTTAACATGTGTATTGTACAAACTAAAATATTAGTAATATATATATATATATATATATATATATATATATATATATATA